GTAATTATCCACTGATGCATTTACAGGTTTAGCAGGAAGATTTCATCCCAACCTATTACAAAAAACCCCAATACAATAATGGAAGATGACCCACAGGTTTCCTGCAGAGTGACTTTGAAGCGGTTTGAGTCATGCTAAGAGCCCAACACTGGCTGAAGGAAGCAAGTCCTTTCTTTAAGCGAGTTAAAGCACCATTTTCTTAATTTTAAATCTGCATTAGATGGTGTGTTGGACACTTGGCATATGCAGCAACGTGTAGTAAGTCTCCGCCATGTTCAGCAGCTAGTTTCTACCGTTGTGTGGTTGCCATTTGGTGGTCATCAGGAACGCACAGAGTGAGTTTATAAGAGCCTTTCTCGTTTCACAGCTGTCTACTGCAGCTGGAGAAGAGGTTGATGAGAGCGGTCAAAACTATAAAGCTGCAGGCCATAAAACCAAACCCAAAAAGAAGAGCTCCAGAGCTGAGGTGAACTACAGAGCAGGGCGATGCCTTTCAGATAAGACAATGTGATCTGGTGTTAACAAATAAATGTTGAATAGTTTAATGTGTTAAATTCAAATTCGACAAGAGAATGATGAAGTGAAAGGCTGCTCCTTAACTCTAAATAACTTGTCCTCATTATTACCGTGCATAATGCAGTTTCAAGGCTTTATTTCACAATAATGTGATGTCAGACGCATAATAAAGAAATGTCTAGCAGCAGGAGCAGCATTAGTCTTTAAAGCATTTACTAAAGTGTATTTTAGAGCCATTAAACAGTGGATCTTCAAGCAAGTGACACCTCACAAAGAAATGATTCCCATTAAGATCCTTGCAGTCGGGGTGTGAAGGAGTTTTCATACCTCAATCTGCTGCACAGTGAGGTCCAGGAAGGTGTTCTCGTTGCGGACGCTGATCAGGCTCTTGGGGCCCTTACATCCCATGCTGGTGCCCAGGCCTCCGTTCAGCTTCACCACCACCAGTTTATTCAAGCTGTCGGCCACATTGTCCGGCAGGCCTCGAGCAGCGATCTTATCGTAAGGCTGGATCTGCAGGAGAAGCAAAGAGAGAGAGGAGAGTCAGAAACAGCAGGTGTACCTTTAAAGTGCTTTTAAAATCACCAGGACTTCAGCGCTCCTGTAATTTTTTACTCTAATTTGTCTTCGGTGATGTTTCTGCATCCCAATTCTGAGAAATCAGCTGTGACTCAGCGGCGTTTAGGGTAATTTGACGTCTTTTTCTCTTGATTTTTTTTCCTGCTTTCTTGAAAGCAAACTGGTCGTGTTGAGTTCTTCAGAGATGCAGAGCGCAGATTGTAACAGCTTTGAGTGTGGGCTGATTAATTACCAGCTGAGCAATGAAATGAGCTGGAGTGACGTGGAAATGTGAAAATGTCACAAATTGTTAATTTGATCTGCAGCAAAGTAGTTTCTTGAAACGAGAAGGGATGTTACAAGCACAAAACACAAAAGATTCGCCGCTTATTTTGTGTGAATGGTGCAGATAATAGTAATTATGATGGCTTAATATACAACACAGCCGGTTAGAAACGTAGTAGTCAGCACTTCTGTTGACTTATTGGAATATGATACCTGTGTAAATCCACATTACTGAATCAATACTACAGCTCTCCCATCAGCGTATTCACACATCATGTATTGACTTCTTTCATTCTCTCCCACAGAGCATGAAGGCATGATATGAAAAACTATTACCGTTCTGTCAAGCGGGAACACTGGCTCATATAAATTCCCAGGAATGACATTTTGAAAATAAAAGCGAAACGGCAGCTCCTCAAGTTTCAGCCAGCTTGAATGAATTTCATTCTTTCACCAGGAATTTTTTAAAAATCAAGTTAGAAAACTGCGAGCAATGTGCAGACGCATCCAGGGACACTAAATTCTAACCAGATGTTACAACAGATTCGTGTTGTTAGGACGTGAGCGAGCGTGTCGGCGTTCAAGTCGAGCTCTGTGCAGCCTGGAAACGTTATCAATGTGTCGGTGCGGAAAAGGCCGGGTGTCATCCTGTGTCCTTTCCTGCTAAAAGCACTGAGTCTCCAGTCGGTGACAGCAGACCTCCTGATGGAAACAGACGGTCTCTCCTCTGGTGTTTATCCCCCCTTCCTCACCCCACATGGAGGATGAGGTTACAAATACAACAGTCAACCTCCACACAGCTGCTGCCCGCTCTCTGTCCTTGATAGAGAGGAGGACAAATGGATGTTTCATGGTCAAAAGTTGTAAAATATGTTGCAGAGAGGAATGCAGATGAATGAGTGCTGACGCTTGAAAATAAAAAAAAAGATAGAGGCGGAAGAGAGGCTGTTCAGTTCTACTGAGTGAAATGTTTTTCAGCTGAGATCCCCATCCTACCCCTGTACCCCCGGAGGGAAACAACTTCCACACCCAGATGTTCATTTCCCTTTCTGGACAACACAGATTGCTTTTCTTCCTGACTCCCATCTGTTTCCAGCTACTCCAACTGAGGAACACCTCTCCGACCACATACACTTATTTCTGTGTTATATTTAATTGTGTTGTAAAAACACGGGGCCCCGTGCAAACTGCTGAACGCTGTTTTCACTATTCACTGTCACTGGAAAGCTGCAGGAGTGAACACCTGAAAGAAGTCCTCACAGTGTTTAATCTACAGCAGGCGAGCCCAGCGTTGGATTACAGTTTTTACGCTGCCACGGATACACGGCAGCAGGATTTGAAATGTTACACAACTCAATTACGGTTGGCACAACATGTTAATCAGCATCGGTGGAGGAGGAAAGACTTCTGCAAACTACACTGTTATCATCAAAGCCCAACATTGATGTAACAAGGAGAATTACATAACAAAATATTTAACGTGTTGTTGACTTTGGTGCAGCGGTTAGAGAGTGATAAAAGCGGCTTCCTGGATGTGTCGCTGGCTCCTGGTTGGAAGTTTGATGTCTTTTGGCATATGAGTGCACAAAGGATTTCCTCTAGTGCTCTGGCTACATTGAACACATAGCGGACCATTCGTGGAGCGGATGCACCACTGATTGCATCTGAATGATTGCTTATGGTTCCTTGAGGACGTAGACGCGTAGTTGTTGTTGTTAAACTACTTCTGTAGTCTGCTTGGAGGACTCTGTTCATGTTGGCATCTACGTATTGGACACATCAACACTACTGCCGTTGTAGAGTGTTTGCTGTGTGGACACAAATTTTGGGCTGCAGATGACAACACTTACATCACATGGACCCTAGATCTTGTGTATTACTATATGTAAAAAAACAACAACAAAACACGTGCCTTCCAG